GGAATTCTTTGCATAATCCCTTATACAGTGATGTGTTTTCGGCGATTTTCGTTTGTGGTTTTTAGTAATTAAGGTTTTTTATGGAAACATTTTATTGGTGTTACTTTTTATATTTGTTGTATCTACTAACTAATTATTTACTGTAAGCAATAAATTATGGAACAATGAGCTGTATGAGCTTTACAACGACATGAACATAATAATAATAATAGATTGGCGCTTACACATATATTAGTGTTTGGCCGACCTTCTCCTCTGATTTGTGGCGCGCGCCTTGATGTTGTCACACAAAGTGGAGGGACCTACAGTTTCACGCCGACTCCGAACGGCGATTGTATTTTTATGAGAAGCTGTTTTTCATGGCAGAAATACACTCGGAGGTTTGCCATTGCCTGCCGACGGATGACCGCTGTTAAGAAAGAACCTTTTTTCTATATTTTTTGCGATGTTGCTTTGACCAGGGTTTGAACCCAGGCTTTGCGGAGTGGAAGCGCGCACTGCTTACCACTACACCACAGCGGCCGACGACATGAACATAGTGCAGCGAATTAAAATACAGCGGCTCTGCTTGCTTGGCCACCGACGCTCCAGCTCTAAAAGTATTCAACTCGGAACCCGCTGGTGGTAGCAGAGGAAGGGAGAGGCCCCCCACTGAGATGGAAAAACCAGGTGGAGAAGGACTTGGATTCACTTGGCATTTCCAATTGGCGTCAGATGGCACAGAAAAGAAAGGACTGAATGAAAATCTAGGAGAACACTGCGTTGTCATATCCTAAATACTTAAAATAATAAAAAAAAAACTCCGTGCGTGTAGTCCTTATGCCTGAAAGAAGTGAAACTTAATAGAGGAAATTCCAGAAGGAAAGAAATGTGCGATATGCATACATTATTATTACACATATCACATATCACATATGGCCCATGCACCGCGACCTCTGAAATGATCTATATCTATACTGCAAGCAGAGTGGTCGATCCTGGATCCTCTGTTGCGATGGGAATGCCCATAATACTGTATGGGGGAGCACCAACACCAACAAAAGAGGTGAGTACCTTCTTGAGTTCATTAGTAGCTTAATATAAGTATTATAAACCGTGGCAACGAACCAACTTTCAGAAATGCTCTTAGAGAGGTGTTTTAGATCTGACTCTGAGTAGTCATAATATATCGTCGTCTGTCACAAACTGGCACGTCTCGGGTGAGGTATCAATGTCAGACCATGTTGAGACCGAGGCTGAACAGCTTCACTCAGATATTGCAATAGCTTTCAACCGTAGCTGTCCCCAAGGAAAGGTAAAATCCAAACGTGATGTGCCTTGGTGGAGCAAGAAGCTTGAGCAAATGAGATGCTAAGCTAGAAAACTATTCAATAGGGCAAAAATTACGGGTTATTGGAACCCGTACAAAATTGCCCTAACCTCCTATAACAAAGAGTTAAGAAGATCCAAAAGAGCTAGCTGGCGAAACCACGGCGAGGAAATTAATAGCCTACCAGAGGCAGTACGCCTCCAAAAAGCTCTAACAAGGCATCACAAGAACAATCTTTAAAATATACACATAAATATACACATGAAATGTTTAAAGTTGCAAAAATTTTTAAACTAAAAATACATTTTCTACAAATAATAAACATTAGGACCTTACATTTACTCTGTTTTAAACATTTTATGTGTTATTTTGTGCTCTGCGACAAACTTGGTATGTTAAAGTAAACAGGCAGTGTTTAATTTTGTTACACGCTGTGCAAATTTGCACACATTAAAAGAGGAAAATGGTTACCTTTTTTATAATGCGCAAATAAACAAAAAAAAAATTAGAGTGTATTTAAAGTCTTCTCAGTAAAATTCATAAAAATTTCCTTAAATAAATCAAATTTGGGTTTTAAACAGTATATTTTAAACTACATTGAGATCTTCTTTCTTTTTATAGTTATTAACAATTGAAGATATGTCATATGAAAGAGATATATTTAATTTATATATATATATTAAGATCTTGCTTAAAGCATTTTTTTTAGCTAACTAAGCAATTGCTCCTAAAAGCTTAAACAGACGGTAGCGTTGATCGGGATTATTTGGGACTCAATCCGGATCAACTGCAGTTAATTCCCGAGTTGATCGGGATTAACTGGGACTTAATCCGGATTAACTGCAGTTAATTCCCGAGTTGATCCGGATCAACGCTGCCGTCTGTTAAAGCTCTTATTACACTGCTTTGGTGAGATCTCTATATATGTTCATTGCTTCATTCACAAAAAATAAAATGCTCTAATTTCACGCTTAAGTAGCGATTTTTATAACATTTGGAAAACGTCATTAATGAAAATCTATTTTTGAACGAAAAAAACTTTATAGAAATATAAAATTTTGGCCTATTTAAAAAAGTATCCACATTTATACTGATAGGAAAAAATAAGTATCCCGCAAAAATTCGTCTAAAAATGTATCCAATTGGATCTATTTAGATCCAAACGGCATCCCTGATTGCCGCTACCGATGTAAACATACGGATATCTGTCAGTGGTCTTCTTCTTTCTTAATGCTAATATAAGTATTTACGATGGCACGTGTACGCAGTGTTGCCGCCGCTCAAAGAACTTTCTAACCAAGTTTAGACTAAAAAGTTACCAAATGTAAGGAAAAATAACAAATTTTTTGTTAGATTAACAATTCAGGTCATCACAAACTCTTTTATATAGTACGTATAGAAAAAGTTTACAAACCAAAGAAAATCACCTTTTATTTGCATTTTTGAAAAATAAATCCTTTTAAGGCTGTAAATACATATTTAAGAAAATATCTTCGTAAACATTACCAGAGTCTAAATGACGTTTTTAAATAAGTACATAGGTACACAGTTTCCAACTGTAAGAATCAATGAAATACCTAATCGGCGTAAACAACCACAATGTATATATTTTAAGATTAAGATTAAACAATTAAAAATTGGGCTTATTGAACTATATCGTCGCACAGCGTGAAATACCTCTTCTACAGTTATCATTTATTTTCGTATCCGAAAAACGTTCGAAAAAGATGATGTTATTTGAAACAATAATTGTATCATATTTGCAGAGAACGTATATTTATAGAGAAGGTCCAAGAACTGTGAATGCCACATTTTTCGAGCCAACAAAACTGGCGAAGCGCATTTTAAGAGCGACAAATATTGGAATATTGGAATACTTAACAGCGAAAGCAAAATACAAAGCATAAAAGAAGAATGTTAACAGAGCTTAATCTCACGAGAGCGTTTGGAATGTTAATTAAATATGAATATTGATGATTTTCGCCAGAGACGTGAACCGGTTTTGAACCGAACCGGTTTTGAACCGGAAAACCGCTTTTTTCTATTAATTAACTGAGCCATTAACCGAACCGAAAATTTCCCCAAATGTTTGATCCGAACCGAAAACCGAACCACTTCCTGTAAAGGTTTAAAGGTTCGTTTCAACCAATTTTCAAAAGATAAAAGTACCCACTTTTTCTTCATTTTGTTAAACATAGTAATACCTACCATGTTTTTTACCATGTGACAATATCAAATGTAAAGGCAGCCCATCTCACTTGACCCTTAACCTTGCGCGTTGTTGCACTTGACACTTGACTTGAACCGTTGAACCGAACCGAAACCCCGGTTCAAAGACCAAAAAAAACCGTTTTGACGAACCAATCCAAAAGTGCAACAACGGTTCTAACCGCTAAACCGAACCGACCAAATTTTTATCCGGTTCACGTCCCTGATTTTTGCGCGCCTAACAACATGCAACATCTAGTTACCTGCCAGTTTCACGCTTTTTGGCCCCCCTGATTTTCATTTAGAGAATCTAGGCGATGAAAATTTACCGCCCTATTCCCACACCACTGACAAAATTCATCATATGACTATTGTCACAATTACTGCGCCTAAAACACAATATAAACATTGTTTCGCCGTTGTCACTTATTCAGTAGGTCATAACAATAAAACTGACAATTGTCATACGACAGCTTAAAATAAATTCGCGGCATAGTATTAGGCGCAGTAGTAAAGGCAATAGTCAGCCGCTGAGTTTTGTCAGTAGTGTGGGAATAGGGCGCTTAGCCTAGTGATTGTCAGAATTACACTGCAGCATTCGCAAGGATGTGGCTTAAGACACTCGGAAAGCCATTCCTGCAGAATGTTTTAGAGTGAAGCTGCCTCTCTCTGTATCACGTACTGAAATTCATTAACTCTTAAAGGGTACCGTTATTTTACATACTTTAAAGGTAATCTTCGTCGAATCGACGTATGAAAAATGTTGCAAGCAAAACTGCCAAACTACCTGTAATAATGATGGACCTTAGCGAGAAAGAAAACTCAGAGGCTACTTATTATGCAAGCTTTTTTTTTTTGTATATTTTAGAGCAATTCGCTCGTCAGAAAAATGGAAAAAGAGCAATAGTGTTAAAGCCGTCAAATGGCTGTAGGTTAAACGAGTTGTGGCATCAATACCTTGTCAACCACTTAAACCACCCAACAATCATCTGAACCACTATTGAACCGTCAATGTTTCTAATTCCACAAGATTGTGGCTGTCTGCTAAATTATAAACTAATTTTATGCATAAATATGTCTTGTATTTTGAAGTTAATTGTTTTGTTAATATTCCTGTTAAAATACATTTGTTATTTATTTTTGTACCGGCAATAGAATATTATTTTTAATTTCATATTTTACTTGATTATAGCGCAAATTTTTGAATTTTGATGCATATTACATGCGCTTATTTTCGATTTTTTAATGCAAGATTCCAAGCCCTATACATATGTAAGTGTTGATACACGTACATATATACATATATGCAAATATATATATTTGTTTACTCATTACCGATTTTTATTGCATCAATTCAAAATTGCATATTCGCTATAATCAATTGATGCATCATCTTTATTAATCAATAAAGGCTGACTGAATTCATACAGTTTGCAATCATACTTCGTAGCTATAGCAATAAATTATTTTAATAGGTCTAGAAATGCAAATATTTTTATTTTTTGAACTTGCATGGCTGACCGTGGCTTCAGTTACCTCTGGCCCAGTATTTCATAGACTTTTTGGTGATTTATTAGCATCGCCACAACATTATTCAGTTAACTTCAATCCATGTTTATATCCCGTTCCATCAATTGACTACGAAAGTTATAACGCTGGTGGTTACCAACATCAACGCTCAGTGCAACAGAGCCACTCTGAACATGGGAGGTCCTATAAGGACATATGCCGCATAGTGAATACGAATGCATTCACAAATCCGGGAAATGTACCAAAGTGTCCATATTAATATTGGATGGATAGTTTAAAGATTTTAGTTTGTGCTTACATTAGGTATCTTATAATTTTATTTTAAGTTTGGATATACATATTTGGAACAAGTGTATTTTTTCATTTTATGTTTTTTGAGTGCTTGTCGCCCGTTGTTTTCATTGTACATCTATTGGCTTCTTATAATTATTTTATATTTAAAATCTTTGCGCAGAAAATAAACAATCTGAATAAAATTGGAAAAAACTAATTTAAAAATGTGCAAGTTCTTATCATTGTTATTAACATTTAAATATAACTAAATCAAGCTTAAATGCGCATAACAGCTCTTATAAGTTCTCTAGTTAACTGCATAAAACATTAAAGATAAATGATATTAAATAAAGGTTTGGCTTGAGTCCTTATCCATTTAGAATAGCTTCACCGCAGACTAACTATGAGTATGTCCTCTACTATACATTTTCTTAAATGTAAATTCCCTAAACAAACGTTTAAATGTTCTGCACTCCTTCTACAATGCCAAACAAATATCTCGTCTAGAACAGTCGTTTTTGCACAATATAAAAGACACAAGCTAAGAAAAATGCAAAAGCGAAGAAGAGCAACATCTTATCCGTACACTCCCTTCGTCCATATTTCTTCAACAATTTCCCTGACTGTGAAATCGAACCGGCTGTGTTGTGTAGTTCATCACGTGTCGCTTCTACGTTTTGTGATGACGCTAACAAAGTTTCCAGTGTAATGGCACTTTTCTGGGTTGTTTCCGACAGGTGACGCGATATGGCAAGCATTTTCTCAGTTACATTGTTCTCTTGTGAAACAAGACTCCCACGATTGTGATGTGATCCTGCAGCGGTGGATCGTTGCCGTAAATCGCTTTCACCTGTTATAGCCATTAACTCCTCGCGATTCGCCTTCTCGATTTCAATACGTGTCGCTATATTGGCTTTGCGAAATGCTTGCAGAGTTTGCGAAAATTGATCTCTATGGGAATCCACCTCTTTGTTCAGCTCGGCATCACCGGTGTCACGGGCCCAATCATCTAGATGTTGAATGCTCTTACGCAATGCCGCTAATTTAGCACGTCCAGCCTCGTTTAATGCCTCCAGCTCATGGATATTACCACGATATGTCAATATATCCTTAAAAACAATATTGACATTGGTTAATTCGATATGCGCCAGCTACGATCATATTTACCTGTATTATTGCCTTGACTTGCAAGTTGCTATCAATCAAATCTTGTCGTATTGAATGTAAGGTATACTTCTGCATATCCATTTTTGTTGCAGTTTTTATTTTATTACTAAATTATATTACTATCTAATTTTCTAATATTTGGTGCAGACAATCGACGGCAAGAACTTTTGCGGCTTCTTGTTCTTCTTTATAACTAGTGTGGCATTCACAATATAACCAGTGCTGTGTTTCTAAGAAATTAGTGAAGAAGAAAATATAAGGTTGCGATCAAGGCGAATTTATACAAGGTGGTGTTGATGTACGTCTTAATGTCAAAATTATGCGTTTGTTGTAAAATGAATTCGCCTTGTTTACAACAAACACATCATTTTGACATACAGTAGTACTGTGGCGAAAATTTAATTCGCCATCAACACCACCTTGTATAAATTCGCCTTGGTTGCGATCATACCCATGGTACAATAATTGTACCATGGATCATACCTATAAGCGAACGAAAACAATAACTAAACAAACTTCTTTGATAGAAAAGGATATATAAGCCCACTTTACAGTCGTTTATAATATTTGGAATGGAAAATGTATTACTTTTTATTTACATCACTGACGTTTATATAAAGACGTTTTAGTAGATTTCACAAAAAATCTGATTCCACGTATTGGCTAGAATTAGGCAAACGCCCCTAATATGCGAGACTGTTTGGTAAATTGCGGAAATGTTAAATTTGATGGCATAGTTTTAGGCTAAGTACATAACAGTTAATGCTTCCGGAACTGAAAGTAGCAACCTCGGATATTCGGACGATTGAAATTTGATAGAGAATTTAATATGTATGTATTTCCATTCATACATTTGTATGTACAGTGACGAGCAATACTGTAACATGGTGTAACACTTTTTATTTTAGCCACCGCTATTTGTTCAAGTTCTAACGACTTTCATACTTTTGTTGTATATTCTTATTGGTACACCCCTACTCCCTCTCTCATAAAGATTTGAAGTCCATCCAACAACCATAATAATCATGCATTCAAGGTGTTGCTGTGAGCGTTCTTTTTGATCCATATTCAGAGCGCTCCGCAGTTGCTGCCTATTGAAAAGAACGTAGAAATGCTCTGTTCAATGTAAAACTTAAAAAAATTTTCCCATGCAAATATTTCAAAAGTGGTCTAATGCTTTTTAAATTTGGAATGTTCATGCAAAGTTTCAGATCGAGCACTTTAATTTGATAAATACATGACTTGTCTCGCTGGGAATGAGCGCCTTGTCTTAGACTAATAAATAGTATAGATTATTAGTTAATACAATTTATTGGTACACTGTTACTATTTTTGGTTTTCAGTTTCCGTACTTTTTTGAGGTATGAAATAGTTCACGGTGGCACAGAGAAGAAACTTAATTTGTTGTTGTGAAAATAACAAACACAAAAAATTTGACGGCTAGTAATCTGAGATTTGTCTGTGTAAGGAGGGTGATTAACAAACGAGCTTTGATTGAGACTATATTCATATATAAACGTACTTTTATGCTTAGCCGTACGCATATGTCTGCACAACAAATTTCATGAGTACCTGGTACTAACGCTGTTTTTTTATTAATTTACAAAATTCTACCTATTTTTTTTGCGGAACTATAAGTGTATGTCAAAATAATTGAATTCGTAGCAAAAAAAAAAAAAAATAATTTATGAGTATACAAATTTTTAATTATTTAATTTTAGCAAAATTATGTTCCGAAAAAAGTGCTTAAATACTGTGATTATAAAAAGATGACTTACCCCAATGAATTTGATTTTAAATTGCTTCATATTTTGCAGGAAAATTTGCAGTTTCGTTGTGGTCATTTTAGTTTTCATACAAATTTTTTAAATATTTTTTTTTGTTATATAACACTAAGCATATTATTAAACAAAAGCCCATCAATGGCAATCAAAGCATATAGCAATTTTCTATCACATTTCTCAGTGCCGATTGCGTGGACGGCTTTTTTTTTAACATTTTACACAAAAGACACTACCTGCAACTAAATCTTGGTCTAAAAATGCAACAACACATTTTTTGTCACACATGCTTTCTTTATTACAAAAAATAATAATTGATTTTTTGGGCACCGACATACATATTTATTATACGCAAATTTTATTTATCCAAACATTTTTTCTTTAACGATTGGGGCAATTATCATTTATGACTTTCTTTAAATAGATAGATCTTACCAATTTTATATTAATCACTTAAATTGTCATTCACCTTTTTATTTCTTCCCAAATTTTTTGTTTCGCATTGATATATACATTAGCAGCCAAAAGACGCATGCAACTTATTAACTTCCAATATGAAATTTAACCTCTAAAAAAAAACACATAAAATCACTACCGGATTATTTATTTTGCTAACTTTAAAAAGATAATCATTACTTATTTCATTGCTTTGGTATCGATCAAAACTTGGGCATACTTTTACTTCATAATAACCATATTATTAGTATTATTTATTACACACCATACTGCGCCGGCCGCGAACGCAATATATTTTGTACACGTGAAAAAAATAATAAAAAGCACTACCGAAAGTAGTATTTTTCGATATTTTATTAAAAAGCTCATTCTAGAATTGATTTCGGAAATAAAATGATCATTACCAACACTATTTCAATATAACTTCACACTTTTTTGCAAACAGGACGTGCACTCGTTTCACTTGCTAAAAAAGCAATTAAATATTTCTGCCGGCATGAGTTTTTTTGTTATTACCATTAGAAAATGCGCAATTTAATTGCATTATTATTCCAAAATTGCGTTTACATTGGTTTTTATTTAAAAATTAGGTATTTGATTAACTTCTAGCCGTGCCGACTTTAACTGCGCTTCACATTTTTTACATGCAAAATAAACACATTTATACAACTGCCCGGTTTGCTTTTCAAATTATTTTCTTAACAAAGCATCAATTACTGCACATTTTATTACGGAAAGCATTTGTTATCTTGATATTTATTGATAAAAATCACTTTTCCCACTTTTAGTAAATGCTAATAAGCAGCGAATTTTTGACACCTGTTAAGGCGGAAATTAAAGTGAAGCGGCTGTTGCGGTGACGGAAGTGTAGCAATATACGGGGTGACACATGTGTTTGAAAAAAAAATTAAGAAGTTTTTAAAACTAAATATCGATTATTATAGGACTATCAAATATTAGATAATTACTGGAAACTTACTCAGTCATTATTTAATTAAAATTTAGTCACTTTGGGCATTTCATTACTATACTTTGCAAGGAAAAACTGGCTTTTAAACAGAATTTATTAAATCTTGAATTCCAACACTTTCCTTTGGAAAAATATATATGGTCAAGAAATTTTAAAAGAGTAAATTTGCGCGATAAATATTGCTCGAGACATTTTATGTCGCTTATGATCGAATCTAAATGTCGCACTAGTAATTTTGCTCCCCAGAACGATTCAAAACCAATCCAAAATTAGAACAAAATTGTGGAGAGCGTTCTCAATGGGAATTACATAAGAACTAAAACCCTAAGAGAACAAAATGCGAACAATACTTTCGCGAACATTTCAAAGAGAACAAAATTCGAAAAAAGTCTTCGGAATGTTTTGAAAAAGAACTAGACGGGAACAAAAGTCTAAGGAACTTTCTCTCGAATAACAATTTGGGAACTAAAGTCTCACGAAATTTCTGACAGGGAACGAAATGGGAGCGAATCTTCTCTGAACTTATCAAAAAAGAATTGAAAGATAATTATGCAAATTGTAAAGAAAAATAAAAATTTTCCACAAATTTACAGTTCACCCTAATGATAAACTATCTGGAATTTGAAATGATCCG